TTAAAAATATTTGACATTTTCGAGACCAAATATTTTGAAAAAAATCAAATCAGCTGCTATACTCATACTACCTGTTCACTGTGCCTTGGTAGTACCATAAAATATTTTCTTCTGAAAAAAAGTTAATTTATGTGCAAACATATAAGTATGTGTATGTATTAGGGATGTTGCGAATGCGTGGATACGAGGTTGTTCACGCTTGCCTGGTTATCAAGTGTTGTGGTCATATTTCTTATTCAGTTTAGAACAAAAAAATACACTACACAAAAATCATTTTTAACCAGATAACCTGATAACCAGGCAAGTGCGAAAAAGCTCCGCTTTGATTATTGCGAATGCCCACAGGAGTTATGCGGCGGAAGATTCTCATTGGGCTCGATGCGGAGATTATCCCTCCTCTTGGCCGCTTCATCTGCGTCCCTGGGGAATGCAGAGAACGGCGTCTCGTAATTTTTATTAAGGCATTTTCGCACACAACACTTTCGCTTTCTCGAGCAGCTCTTTTTTATTTTAGAAATATTTTAGCACAAAAATTAAATAAAGAAAACTTTTTGTTCAGGTTTCAGGCGAAATGGCAAATGACAAATGGCGGGTTTACAGTTACATTTGGGATATTAGGTGTGTATAGTCTAGGCTCAGACAGAGAAACTTTTGTTGTTGTTGTTGTAGCGGCTACCAAGCCCCGCTCGGGTCGGTCCATCCGTCAACATTGTCATCTGTTTCAGTTAAGGGGAGGCCCAGGAAGTGTACGACTTCAACAGGGTGTGTCCATAAGGACAGGGGCGTTAGCTGGGTGTGGGTCTCAGGGCATTTGAAGAGGTGCCGAGAGTCATGGGGCAACTCTCCACATGCCGGGCATTGGTTGGGCACATCCTCGTTAATTCTGCTCAGGTATGAGTTTGGCCTGCTGCAATAGCCAGCCGAAGCAGACAGAGTTCTGTCGCGTCCACGTCCGGTGGTTGTGTGCCTAGAACAGCATTCACAGGGCGGGAGACTACATAACTCGAGACTGATTCCCCGTGAATGCCGTTCAGGGCCTGTCGGTAGGCTGACGGGTCCAGAGGTTGTTTAATGAACATCTGGACTTCGTCCGTCAGTTCGTAGAGATGCCTCCTGACGTGCCTTGGCGAGGGCTCTTCTGCAAGCAGATGTTTGCTAGGCTGTGGCTCCCCACAAGGAACTGCTTGCAGAGCAGTATGTTAGGCTCCTAGGACTGGGAGCATCTGGGTCTCGTCGTGAAGGTGGTGTTGAACTCGCCCTCTTGCGATTCACACACTTTTCTGGTGACAAAATCAATGCTTTTTTAAAAGTATTTAATTGACTAGGTAATCGTTTCAAAAGTTCTTCGATTAGGGTGATTAAACGTGTTTGACAGTCTATTAATATAATTCTTAAGTCAAGTTTATCACGCAGTTCATTAGCCTATTCTGTAAAATTATCGTGGAAAACCAAGTTTTGTATATTTTTATAATTGGAAAACACTTATTTGAAGGGAAAAAATCGCGAAAAATCACCAGGGCCGATTTTCTAAACTTTTAAGCGGAAATATCCAAAAAAAATCGCCAAATTGGCGCGAAAATGCCAAATCTGGACACTCTGGTTGGCCGTTTACAGCTGACACCAAAAAAGGTGCAAAAGAATTGCTCTGTGTTAACGCGAAGGGCAACAACAAAAGAGAAGTTGCAGAAAATGAGCAACAATCTCTGTGTGAACCTAGTCTTAGGGACCAAATACAGTACTGTTCTGTTGTTGTTGTAGGCGTGTTCATGTTTTCAGAGTCCTTTCATGCAACTCTGTCAGGTTTTTGTTTCTTTACCGAACACATAGATGTCGCCCAAGTGTGCTGTCATCTGCGTGTGTGTGTTTGGATTTTGGCGCGAAATAAACAAAAGTGACCAAAAAGTGTGCGTTGCAGCTGGCAAAAGTGCATTTGCGTCTTGAAAAACTGTTTTAGTATCCAATATAATTAATTTTTATTCACACAGGAAAGTAAATTATTAAGAAAATGCCACGTCGAGATTATGTACAAGATAAGGGTAAGTATATCGCTCTCTATATTGTCAATACCCTTCGTGAGGATAACATAAATTTTACAGAATCAATTAAGACCTTTCTGTCCGAGTTCTGCAAAGAGGATGACACCGGGAAAAAGCAATTTGTTTACGCACATCAACTTGTGAAAATTGCCCATCGCGAACAAATACTCATCACAATAGATCTCGATCATGTATCGGAATTCAATGAAGAGCTTACAGAAGCCATTATTTCCAATTGCCGACGTTATCAAGCGATGTTCAGTGACGCTATTGTCGACCTTCTGCCCAGCTTCAAAGAACGTGAGGTTCCAGCCAAGGACGCCTTGGATGTTTACATCGAACACCGCTTGTTGATGGAGTCGCGCACACGCAATCCAATGGAACAACGGGATCAACGTAACAATTTTCCACCCGAGTTGATGAAACGATTGTAAAGAAAAGCTTATTAAAATATTCTACTATCTTTAAAAATGCAATATTTTTTCCGTATTTACAGTGAAGTCGCTTTCAAGCCACATTCCAATGAGAAGGCCCAGTCCATACGTGAAGTCAAGGCGGAACATATCGGAAAATTAGTAACTGTGCGAGGCATTGTTACTCGTTGCACTGAAGTAAAGCCAATGATGGTTGTAGCAACGTATACTTGTGATCGTTGCGGCTCTGAAACTTATCAGCCTGTAAACTCGTTAACATTCATACCTGTCCAAGAATGCCCCTCAGATGATTGTCGCGTGAACAAAGCTGGCGGCCGTTTATACTTGCAAACGCGTGGCTCGAAATTCGTTAAATTCCAGGAGATTAAAATACAGGAACACAGCGATCAAGTACCGGTTGGACATATACCACGCACCATGACGATTATGTGCCGTGGTGAAGTAACTCGTATGGCACAACCTGGAGATCATGTGCTCATTTCAGGAGTTTTTCTGCCATTAGTTCGCACAGGATTCCGACAAATAATTCAAGGCTTATTATCTGAAACATTCCTGCAGGCTTACGTAAGTATATCTTACCATTATTTGTTTTCTTTTCTCATAATTACGTACGGAACTGAACACATATAGCGCATCGTTTGCATAAATAAAAATGACGAGGCGAGTGACCAGGAATCTGAGCTTACGGCTGAAGAGTTGCAAGAGCTAGCACAGGACGACTTTTATGAGCGTCTTGCCACTAGCTTAGCGCCGGAGATATATGGTCACTTGGATGTGAAAAAGGCATTGCTGCTACTTTTGGTGGGAGGCGTTGATAAGCGTCCAGATGGCATGCGTATACGTGGTAACATAAATATCTGCCTGATGGGCGATCCTGGTGTAGCCAAATCTCAGCTACTTAGCTACATAAGTCGTCTTGCCGTGCGTTCACAATATACCACCGGTCGTGGTTCCTCTGGTGTGGGTTTAACCGCCGCCGTCATGAAGGACCCTCTCACTGGTGAAATGATGCTTGAGGGTGGCGCACTCGTGCTTGCCGATCAGGGTGTATGTTGCATTGACGAGTTCGATAAGATGGCAGATCAGGACCGCACAGCAATACACGAAGTAATGGAACAGCAAACAATTTCCATTGCCAAAGCAGGCATTATGACTACGTTGAATGCGCGTGTATCAATATTGGCTGCTGCCAATCCTGCTTTTGGACGTTACAATCCACGACGCACAGTTGAACAAAATATTCAGCTACCAGCTGCACTTCTGTCACGTTTCGATTTGCTTTGGCTAATGCAGGATAAACCAGATCGAGACAATGATTTGCGCTTAGCTAAGCACATTACCTACGTGCATAGTCACAACAAGCAGCCACCGACACGAGTAAAGGCACTCGATATGAATCTTATGCGACGTTACATCAACCTTTGCAAGCGCAAAAACCCCACTATACCCGATGAGTTGACGGAATACATTGTTGGAGCTTATGTGGAATTGCGACGGGAGGCGCGCAATCAAAAGGACATGACCTTTACATCGGCACGTAATCTCTTGGGAATTCTACGTTTATCTACGGCACTGGCGCGTCTACGTTTGTCGGATAAGGTTGAAAAGGATGACGTAGCCGAGGCGCTACGCCTGCTGGAAATGTCAAAGGATTCGTTGAATCAGTTACATGAGCATCAAAAAGGACAGTAAGTATTGCGCAATATTATTTTTATAGAATTAAGGCTCATACTAGTGGCATCTCTAGAAGGTAGTTAACCTTTAAACTTTTTGACTGAGGTCCAATTTTCTAACAAAAAATTAAAAAACCAGGCCATTGAAAAATCTTTCAAAATAATTGGAATAATGCTGAGTGGTGGTGCATGGTTGCCCCTATTTGCAATTTTATTTTACTATCAATATTTTAGTTGCCGTTCACATGACAGGCGCTTAACGCGCGTTATTCAGCCCTATTGCGAATTCCATGTGAACATATATTCCCGAAAATTATAAAGCAAAACCAAAACAATTTTTCCCAATTTGTTTTTGTTGTACATGTTAAATTATGGGAACGATTTATTCACATGGAGTTTGCAATAAGGCTGATTATATCAACTTCATTGCAATTTTCTTGTATCAATATTAAAACCTTTTTTCCAGCGTCCCCAACACATCGGACAAGATATTCGCTGTTGTGCGTGAATTAGCCGGCTCTAGCAATACTGTTAAAATCGCGGACGTAATTGATCGTTGCACAACTAAAGGCTTCAAACCAGACCAAGTGGACAAGTGCATTGAGGACTACGAGGAGCTGAACGTGTGGCAAGTCAACATGGCGCGCACCAAAATCACCTTTATGTAATGAAAACGACAGCTTGGTACGTCGTTTCGTTCGCACCTAAAGTACATATTTTGACTTGCATATTTTCATTTAACTCACTTTCATCTTCATCAATTACGTTTGTTGTTACTTGAATGGAAGTACGTGTTTTGTTCTTAATAACATGCTGAAAGTGTATTTTTTTAGTTTTAAATCAATAAACGTTAGAAAGACAATTTTATGTTCACTATAATTTATTTGAAATAAACGCATAAACTATTTGCGTTAAGAATACACATTGATATAGATAATAGTAAAAACAACAATAATACACAATATTAGATTCTCGGAAATATATGTACAATTGGATTGATTGCGGGTTGTGAAACAAATATTAATAACTTTGAATTTGATATTCATAAAACGCTTCGAAATAAAAACCTAATAAAATGGCATCCTGTTAAGTACCTCCAGAGCTATTCTCTAATAAAATGCTAATACCAATCGGAGAGCAAATGATATTGAAAGAACAGAAATGCTGGCGACGTCTACAACATCTATGTATTTCCTGCTGCTCGTGTGCAAAAATTGGTCTATAAAAATACGGCCCCTTAATTTTTGTAATGTATGCGTTAAAAGCGATATATTAATTCCCTTTTCGAGACTGTTCCCTTGTAGGGGAGGGTTTTCAACGATTTTATTTTCTACATTGCGCGATAACTTTTTAATACAAGTGTTAAAAAAAAAAAAATTATTCGCGTGCAAACGTGGCTCCCACATTTCTACGCAAAGCTCAATGTATAATTTTGGACTAAAACTCTAACCTATATATCGTCGTTTAAAGTACAAAACCAGGTATCGTCGTTCTGCAAAACGCGTAACTGATTATTTTTGCCAAAAATTGCATTTGCTCACAGAAGCTCTTGGCTCAAGCCAAATCCTGAAATATACTACTACTAAAGAGAGAACCATTTTGAAATATGAGTGTTTTTACTCTCTACAAAATAATTTATGCACCCTCACATAGGCGGTTTTGTACTTTAAACGACGATCTGTATGTAGATACATACATTTAGTGTAACCCGAATTTTATATTATTTAATATATTTGTTTTATTATGTACAAACATTCTACGGTGCAAAAAGAACTAAACAAGCTAAACTAAAAAAAAAAAATTAGATTGAATCTGCTTGCATGTTTCATTGCAAGCATCACATAGGTGTTGGTTGCACCATTGATGACCTAATAGAAGAAGAGCAAACGCTCTTGCGCCGAGGTCGATAGCAACCGCCATGTGCGTTTGATGGACACATACTGAATGAGCGCGCGCACACAAATCAAGAAGCCAAAGGCCATGATAAGCCACCAGAGCCACGAATTTTCGTGCGATGCCAGCTCGGTGGAGTTCTTCACAATGAGCGTCCACTTTGCCAGCGACAAGCCAAACCCGGACAGGGCGCCATATCGTGCAGCGATTGTGTGACAGAAGCAGGTGAGCATTAAGAAGCCGATCCAGTTGAAAAGGAATGCCACCATGAAGGCCATTATGAACATTATATCCGTGCCGAGCAGACTGTTGTCGGTGGTGCTGGTCAAATTCTCAGCCTCAGACGCATCGATGGCGATGAATGTAAGAGCTGGCGTGGTGCCAGCGGCGTTTGTGCCGGTTCCTGGCATACTGCCCACACCGTCACGTATATGGGCCAATAGGGGGTTTGGTGGCGGCAACGGCGGTGGTTGCAGCACGTGTGCGTTCATAAATGGCGGAGGCAGCTCCCCATTCATTGATTTCTCCATCTGCACCTCTTCGTATGTGGGCAGCTTGGCCGTGTGCTGCATTATTGGCACATCGCCAGTTATCATCATGACGCCGGCTGGCGTTGGTGTGTTAATTGGCGGCAAAGACACCTGTAGCACGGGCGGCGCCTGCTGTAGTGACGAATGCTGTAGCTGCTGAGTATTGCCGCCGCTGTTAGTCAACTCGTAGGGAGGAGGGGCACTGAAGTCCGCTTTTGGTGGGCCAAGCTCCTCACCATTGGACGTAGGTGGCGGTTGTTGATTATCCGACATCCTGTCGAGCGGTTGTACACGCACGTATGGGCGTTTGCGAAGTTAAGCTGTAAGAAAATTGCATAAAAACAATGAGGAAGTGCATCACAGAATAAACAAATAAGATTTTCATAATGATTTGGCAATTTATAAAAACAATTTTACAGAAGTAAAAGGCTTTCAGTTGGGTGATTGTTTAATATTTATTATAATTCGTGTGTGATACGATAGTAGAAATAATAATAAATAAGTAGTAGTCGTTGTACATTTATTAAAAGAGAAATTCTTGCATTTATTATTGGCTTAACGCCAGCAAAGCACGTCGATTTCATGATTGGTTCACAAATGGGTTAAGATTTGGTGTTGCATTTAGTTTTTTTTTTTGTTTTTTTTACTTAGTAAGGCAACATTTGACGAGTAAAGAACCCTTAGCTGATACATTTTTAACTTAGCCTATAAGGTTACTTATCAGCGCTCATTGGACGCCAACTTTCTCAGAGGATGTGCACCAGTGGCTGTATATTTCCCTCTAATTCTAAAATATAAAGACTTGAAGTAAATTTTTGATAACCCAATATTATATCGCTAGCTTAGAGTGAAAAGTTAAATTGGTTTCTAAAAGTTAGAGCTACCAAATTTTTTCTGTTCGTTTCTCTGCAGTGATACGCAAATTCGCTAAATCCAAAATAATCACCGAAAATTTCATAAGCCCCAAAGAATAAAAAGACCTTTCATCGAAGTTGCGGAATTTCACGCGTTTGAATGGTTTTAGTTAGAAAAATGTATAAAAATTTTATATTAAAATTTTGCAAAATAAATAAGAGATGGAAGAATATCAGTTCGAAAGGTTTTTATTATCTCCCGTAAAATTAACAAAAACTGGACTTAGCAATACTTCACTCTAAGCTAGAAGATATACGTATGTATATACATAGATGTACATACAGTGGTCGAAATAATTGTAGCCGCACCATATTTTGACAAGTTTTAACATATTATTTTGATTGTTATTTAAAAATATAGTTCATTCTTTAACAAACCCCGTGTAAATCCAAGTTTCATAGTTTGTGCAACATTCCAAAAAAAAAAATTTAGGCCATTTCAAACTTGTACTTTGGTCTACTAGAATTCAAAAGGCTACAAAACTGCGTACTCAGAATCTTTATAGGAAATCTAATTAAAAAAGCTTGCGATTTGTATGAAAGTTTGTTGATTTTTTTTAGAGCACTGCACAAAGTTTGAAACTTGGATTTACACGGGACTTGTTTAAGAATGAACTATATTTTGATTAAAAAAATAACCAAATTAAATAAAAATAAAAATAATATGTTAAAACTTGTCAAAATTGTGGGGCGGCTATAATTATTTCGACCACTGTATATTTATGTATGTAAAATCCATTACAACTGCAAGTTGCTGTAAAAAATCCTTCTGAAGGATTGGTTACCGATCTCGGTAGTTACCTACTTATTTTCTAACAAAACTGGATTGATAAAATGGCATTAAAGTATTTCACAATGTCTTTTGCAATATGTATGTATATCTCTTTTGTCTTTTCTGTGCTTAATATCTTGCACGTCGTCATTAAACTTATTTATTCTAGTAGCCATTAGCGTGGTAATCTGGAATTTTAAAGGCCCCTTTCAGTTGACGTTTTAGCTGCCCATTATTTTGGACGGTTCTCCTCCGTCTTTAGTAAATTATCGCTTAAAAGCCGCTGCTAAAGGCAGAGTTTTATAATGATGTTCACCGAATGGTCGACGCACTGGCAATCGCGTCATACCGTCTACTTCGTCGAGGCCTTCGTTGTCGTGAGCCATTTCGGCGCTCTCATTCAGCTTCTGGCGCTGTTTGTCGTAGCGTATGTACCACATCAGACAGAGTATAACAACCACGAGCAGCGCTAATGTTGCACCACTCGCAATGCTGGCGGTTTCGAGCATGGCACGCTGTCTTGTCGGCAAATATGAGCCATCGATTTCTTTGTACTCGCAACGTGGGCCCATAAAGCCGGTGGCGCACTCGCAGTTGTAGAGTATTTCATTGTGGATTTCAACGGTAAAACAGGTGGCTTCGTTTAGGCAATACCAAGCAGCGTAGGTGGGCGGGCAGCTGTAAATCGGGAATGTTATGTTTGGGCGCTGCGTGGTGGAATCATCATCAGCTGGTCCTGTGGATGGCAATGGCGGCGGCGGTGATTTCTGTATGGCACGACTGGAGCAAGCTGCCGCAAAAGGAGCGAGAAGAATAAGCGCTAGGAAAATGCAGAGCAATCGTTCCGTATCCGACGGATGTAAAAATGCAGCCCTGCGTTCGGGCATTGTGTCACTAAGTGCTCTTTGGTTGTCGTGCCAATTAGCGTGCGTTTTTTGGCTCTTGTCTGAAGGATGAGACAGTCGTTCATGCAACTCGTGCTGGCAGCATGCCAACCAATGTTTGGTGGATGAGTCGGTGCGCTGAAAATTAATGCAATGCTATTAATTAACAACATAAATAAAACTAAAGATTACTAGTAGAAGCAACCAAACTTTATTATAAAATAAAAATTACAATTAAAAAAGAGAAATATTGAGATTCCAGCGCTAATTGGTGAGCAATGCAGACAAATATTTTATGTAATGCGATCCAACTAAAGTATATTTATAAAAAAAAAACAAATAAAAAGGAACAAATTTGAACAAAACAAGTCAGCAAAAATCATTACAACAACCATAAATATTTATATATACATAAATTTGCTTTTTAACATGAGGAGATGATGAATGAGATAGCATTTGATTTGTTGCCCCTGCTGGGCCCCTGCTGTAGGTAATACATGTGCTGATTAATGTTGGCGTTCCTTAAAGCGCATAGTTTGGTGGCTAAAGGCCCCCCCGAGTTGAATGCGAAAGAGCGTATACGAGCGTCCTACAGCGAAAAATAGTAAGCTTATTAGTTAGGCAAGATAGTTTCAGGAAATAAACCCATATTCACAAGCAAACACTTAAAACAAAAACAGAAGCTATTATATTCACTGATAAATTTTGGACTTATGTTTGTATTTACCTTTTTGCCAGTTTAATTATATGTATTTATAAAGCCCAAAAATTACTTTCCACCGAACAGAATGAATTTCACAATTTTTTTAAATCACACTTTCATTTTCACTGTTAAGTCTACTCGTCTTATTTTTTTTTTTTGAACGGCAAGCACACTTGTCAACCGCGTTTTCGAATAACTTATACGCGCGAGTTCATCTACTAATTTAACGTTTCCGCACTCTCGATACGCGCCGCACACTAGTGGCAGGGCAGTTCCGTCGTTTGCGCGAGCTATCTAAAGTGGACGGCAAATTGAAGTACAGACAGCGGGCGGCAAAGAAAGAATAAATAACAACGCCTACGACGCTATCAAATGCTAGATTCGATTTGGTTAACTCGTCTAGTTACAAGCATCAGTATTCGCTTATTGGAATACTTGCATAAATAGTACAAACATATCTCAATTCAAGAAGCGGGCTTACGTATATCGTTTAGTATATGTATGCATCGCTGCCTTTTCAAAACGATGATGTAACTTCTTGCTGATGCGCAATTGTTATTCAATTTATCTGAGGGCTTAAGTTCGTCAAAATCTTTAAACTAAACCACACCTTTTTCAAGGGAATGCAGCCTTTTTTCATGCACAGTACAGCTTAATAAAACGATAATGTAATACTGATAAATTTACTTCGATGATGTAATACTGATAATTGAACTTATGCCACTAAAGTGTTTATTGTACCGTTGCTACTTGAAGTGCACTTAACATATTAAGCTGCAAACATACATATGTACATATATATGCACGAATTTCAAAACAGATGTAAGCCCAAAGTAATCCCCGAAAGTTATTCACACTATTCAAGCCACATGTAGATAGTGACCGACCTGGAAAAATATTAATCTATATTCAAATTTATATTAAATGTATATATGTTTCCGTCCTTTGTTGCCATAGCCGGACTTACTTACACCCTCACGAAAAAACGAATGCTCTCAAATTTTTAAACTTCAGAAACAGCGAAGCATTTAAGGACCCTGTTGAAGTCGCACACTTCCTGAGCCTCCCCCTAGCTGAAACTGACGACAACGTTGACGGATGAACCGACCCGAGCGGGGCTTACCCTGCAAAAATCGTTGGACCATGTAGTCTATTTGTGGTATATTGTTGGAGTACTTACAAAAGTGTTCCTCTTTCATGCTGTAGCGGTCCAACTCGTGTCTCTACACCAGCTTACTGTTACCCGATCAGTACTCGTGTTTTAATGAAATAGAAGTTGATTGAAGTTGAGCATTTGAAAGCACATTTGCATGCCTGGCTGTAGCCATATTTTTTTATATAAATTGTGGTTAATTTTGGAGTACTCCTTGGTCCTGCGGGAGTACTCTTTACATGCATGCATGGCGTACTCGCGATTTTTGCAGGGTAGTAACCGCTACAACAACAACAACAGGACTACAATTGGAAAAGTCAGATGGAAATATGAGATGCTAGCAAAAGTTCGTTATACAGATGAATTTTGATACCAACGGAGATGAGAGAATTCAATTCCAAAAAACGGGTACATCATCTTATCACCCTGCCGGAAGAAGAAATCAAATATGAATCAACTATCAAATGCCTCGCTTGCTTCGCAACGCCTGATAAGAACTTTTGCGTGGACCAATACAAAAATAGTGTTGAAATGCAAAAACGGTTTATAATGTAAACGTTATTGGCTTAGGTTGAAAGGACTGAAGAGCAGAACTGTAACACTTGCATTAATTTACATTTTTGTTTGCAAGTTTTTTTATTGTTGTTGTATTGACTTCATATCATTATGAGAGAGGGAGTAGGGATGTACCAACAAGAATATACAACAATAGTATGAAAGTCGTTAGAACTTGGAAAGATAGCGATGGCTGAATTAAAAAGTGTTACACCATGTTACAGTTTTGCCCGTCACTGTAAGTGAGTTCAAACAGACAAACAGACATACAGACAAACAATCTCCAGTTTTATTATAGTATAGATAGTAAATTTGAGCCTTACTTCTGCATTAAATGGCACATTGTAGGAAATAATTTCAAAATAGGTTATATAAAAATATAAGTCTACGAAGTTAAAATCCACAGGTATCCACACAGAACCAACTTATTCGCAGTAGTTCATACATATCTTGGGAATTATAAAAAAAAACTATACCTATCTTCGAAAACTTAAACGCTTAGCTTATATAACGAACAGCGATTGTTTTTTTTTTTTTTTTTTGATAAGCTGTTTTTTCATAGCAGAATACACTCGGAGGTTCGCTATTGCCTGCCGAGAGGCGACCGCTATTTGAAAAAACTTGTTTATGTTTTATTTTTTGATGTTGGTCGGAAACTGGGCCCGAACCCAGGCCCTGTGGAATGGAAGCGAGTATTCCACTTGCAAAGTGCGCTATGTAAAATTGTTTCGATTTTTAGTGCAAATACTGGCGATTTCAGAAAAATCAAGAAATACCTACATGTGGCAGCTATCTTGAGTTCTACTCGCAAACAAAGCGCACGCCATGAGAGTGTGCCCCTACTAAATAGTTATTACTTGTTGTGAGGAATTATATTAAGTGCTACAGCACGAACTTTAAGCTTAATGTGAAGTGAACTATGTATACTGTTGTTGTAGTTCTCTACCCACTCACACACATTTCTATATTTACGGAGGGTCCAAATCATTTATTCGTGTGAATTTAGTTATCGCAAATATTAAATTAACATTTATAATGGTTTGGTTTTGTTTTCATTTTCTAAGTATTGAAACGGTCTGCATACATACATATCGTCACTGAAATGCAAAAAGCCGTAACTAATAAAAAATTCAAAATTCACTTTTCGATTGATATGATGGATTTCATCGAATTACAACTCCCCACATCGTTTTATAAAAAAAAAAATACTAGTTACGACTTTTTCCATTTCAGTGACTATGTTGTTATGTCTTTTTGCATTTCAGGTGACGATATGAACATACATACATACCGTCGATGGTTTTGCAAAACCGCCCATTGGCCAGTTGCAAAACCGCCTAAATCGCCGGTGTGGCAAAAATGAGATTTAATAACCGTGATCTCCAGGCAACGAGATTTATGCCTAAAAATCACAAAATGACAAAACAGTTTAAGCTTAAAAAACCTGCATAAAAATATTCAAAAATCTTTTGAACGGAATCGTAGTAATGAGATTTTTGATGCTGTTTTTTAACTTTTTTCGAATATTGGTTTGAGAAACACTGGGCCAACAGCATCAACAAGCTCATTATTACGATTCCGTTGAAAATTAAAAAAAAATATATATATTTTTTATGCAAATTTTTTAAGCTCAAACCGTTTTGTCATTTGAGGGGATTTTTTTTTCAAAAAAGTCTTTAAGAAACTATTTTTATTCATAAAAAACTCCATTTTCGGAGGTACTTACAAATCGGTCCAGCTCACGTAAATCTTAGTATATAGTACAGAAATATTTTGGTGGGCGTCTTAAAATACAACAGATTTTATAATTCCAATGGAAACACAGTTACGATTTTTTTTTTTGTATGGGGAGTGAGGCAGTCTAATGTACATACATATGTAAGTAGAATATATGTTTTTAAGAACGTGCAGTATTGCGATTTCTGAGTACTTCCCCGATAGCCTAAATACTTGAAACTTTAAACTTAGTTCAAAACCCAATGACAAGCAACAAGAAAGAGGAATTAATCCGCTAGGTGGCACAAAGTCGAGATATTTAAAAAAAAAACAGTATTTATAGTCCGTTTCGATTCTTGTTGCCCACATGGAAATAAATAACTTTACAAAAAATGTTTCCGATAGGTGGCGCAGGAGTCGAAATGTTTCTTAATTTATATTTAGAAATCTTGTTTTATTATTAATGTTACTTTTTTACTATTAATATGTTATATACAAGAATACATACGCATCATACACATGTACATGCGTAAATGTGTAAATGAATTCGCATGCATTTACGCACAGATGTACATAAGTTTATTTAGATACTTTTATACATATGTACGTAGAGATGTAGTAGATCCACATGGGGATAATTAAATCAAAAAGCAATTCAAAATTACTTATGTCTATACATATTTCATTAACTGAAAGCTTTTATTAAAATTAGCACTTAGGGCAAAAACGTTGAAAGGCCTTTAAAAGAACGCGTGAAGGAGCTTGGTATCTTCCAGATATACATACATATGTATGTGTGCATATGTCTGTACATGAACAGATATGAATAATGAAAAAATACGTTATTTAAACAATTGTTCAATGGTTAAGTCAATAATTTTATACATTGTAAATATGCAAAAATCGAGCTATTTATCCAGTGTCGAACCTCTCCTGTAACAATCGCAAAACAGTTGTGATAAATACGAATTCGATAAGATAAAATTTCAGTAAACCCAATGACGGAATGTAGCTACATACATACTTACATACTACATACATTCAAACAAACAATTGCACTATATTTACGCGTGAAGAAGATTAAAAGTTAAACAGCCGTTTTCGAAAACAGAAATATGAATTTAAAATCAAATTTAATANCTGAGAGTGAGTGCAAAACTGTAACATCTGCCTTAATTTACATTTTTGTCTGCTGGTTTTTTTATTGTTGTTGTATTTACTTCAAATCATTATGAGATAGGGAGTAGGGATGTACCAACAAGAATATACAGCAAAAGTATGAAAGTCGTTAGAACTTGGAAATATAGCGGTGGCTGAAACAAAAAGTGTTAAACCATGTTACAGTTTTGCTCGTCACTGTATGTACAAGTAATAATAGTTAAACTCAAAGACACCGCTGAAGTCATGAAAAAAAATATATAAATAGTTTTTTAAGCACCAAACAATAAATGCGGCTTCTTATTTGAATTTACATTTGATATTCGCATTCCCCATTTTAGCTACTGACAAATGGGTTGAGGTATTCCACTCAAGAAAACAACTTGATTGTCCAACTGCAGCTCGATGCAATACTTGAAATTATCATCGTGTACATGACTCGAAGTATAAACAAGTTATGTTTGAGAGTAACGACTTGTGCTAGTAGTAATTAGTTTTTTTAGAGTAGGTACGGATACTGGTGTTCAAAGTGCACTTGTAAAGCAAATTTTCGCGGAATTCTAGAAGTGAGAACCGGAAAATGCCTTTTTAGCTTCGTTTGTTGTTCAAAATTATAAATGATCATTTACAAGACATTTATTATTACACATATAAAA